AACTAGTATCAGAAATAGCTGGAAAAGGTTGAAAATCCATTGGCAGCTGGGGCTTCACCTCTAGACCCCACTGGGGCCTCTGGCAGCCCTCAGACTCCTTTCCTAAGAGGATTTCTGAAACCTCTCTGGTCTCACTCCAAGCCCTGCCAAATGTAAAAAATCAAACTACTCGCCGGTGAATTTCCAAAATGAATTGTACAATAATTTTCGCTTCATATTAGAACTCACTGCAGATATTCAACCTGTGGATAGTCGGTATGCAGATACATCATTCTACTGGGATCGACGGTGTTACCCCACGATCTCATTCGCTGAGATCGACTTACAGACCACAGATCCAAATATGAACCTTCCTGATTTGCATACCTTAGTCCCATACCACAACACCCATTTCCACACTGAACCATTTTAAATCTAATGTATTCGTGGAACAAAAGATAAATTCATCTGTTAAAAATAGGCAAATAGATAAAACTCAACCTTTCTGTGTTACCAGGCATATAACAGACATTTGGTAATAATCATCTTTATAATTTAGCTTTTAATTTGTCCACTCCATCATAAGCAGAATTCAATTTTTGGCATGCATCAAATGTAAGTTTTATTATATTTGACAGTTCTATTTGTGCTTCTCAATCAGTCTTCCTCAAAAAGGCATGCATAATGTTATAATTTGCCTTCCAGCAGATACATGCATTAATTAGAATAATTCCAGGAACTATGATGATCAAAATTTATTAAACAATATCAGGCAGAATTGCCAAGAAATTTATGACTATGATTATTGTCATGGATTGATAACAGATTTGAAGACGGCAATTCAAAATAAAATCTATTACGTCACCTATCATCTGCTGGGGTGAAAATTGTGACATTTGATACAGCAAATATCACTGATAAATACCACATCACAAAAAATGTCCTGTTGTTATGTGTTCAGTGGTGTGGCTCCACTGACTTCTTCAGAATGGTTGAACCAATCTGTGACCAGCATTGGAGTTGTTGGTTTGTGGAGCATAATAATTCTGTGCCAGTTAATGAGGTAATGACTTTGCTCAAGAAAAATAAGCATCTCTCAAATGTGGTAATTCTGATGATGGCCACAGTCAGCTTTGGACCTAATCATATTGATGATAATAATAATAATAATAATAATCCTTGCATTTGATATAGCGCTTTTCACGTCGGGAGGACGTCCCAAAGCGCTTCACAGAACACACTGTAAAATGAATTGACTATATTTGTGGGCGAATGCGGCAGCCAATTGCGCACAGCAATGTCCCACAAACAGTCGTAATAATAATAATAATAATCCTTGCATTTGATATAGCGCTTTTCACGTTGGGAGGACGTCCCAAAGCGCTTCACAGAACACACTGTAAAGTGAATTGACTGTATATTTGTGGGCGAATGCGGCAGCCAATTGCGCACAGCAATGTCCCACAAACGTGGTCGTAGATTGAAAATGACCAATTTGTTATTGTTATTGTTTTTGGTTTTGGAGGGATTATTATTATTAGGCGTGTGGAGTAAGGAAACTTGCCCAAGGTTTCGCCCTCTGCCTGGAATTGAACTCAGGTCTCTCACTTGCAAAGCGAGTGCTCTAACCACTGAGCTACAGGACTCCACAAGATGATGTTAGGGGGAGGGGGAGGAAAGAAGCGCACAACTGCAGGTAGATATCCATCAAGGCAGAATTTTCATGACGTGACAGTTATTCCTTTCATTCCACAATAAATTCTCTGTCCAAAGATATCAATATAACTTCCAAAACATAGGGGAAATCAAATTTTTGCTGATATTCCTTTTTAACTGCGCAAAAAACATCACTTTACACAATCAGAAGTAAAAATAATTTTGGCTACAGGCATTCTGCAGAAGCTAGCTATGGCTAAAATAAGAAATACCACAAAAAATAGGAGACTTACATCAATGACATTCAGGTGGAAACAGAATATATCAAGAGGTTGACAGGACTGTCATTGTGGATTGCACCTTGTCTAGGACTAGTTAAATTATCATTAATTGCAAAAAAAAAAAAAATGTCTGTCATCTCTCTCCTTAAAAAGTTTGCATTTTGGCACACAAACCAAATATATCTAAATTTATATAAATTGGTCATTCTAAACCTGATAGAATGAAAACTTTATCCATATAATGATGTTATCCCACTATTTAATTATGTTCCAAAGAGCAGAAATACTCAGGTTTAGCAGCCAATAATATTCACCTCTTTACAGTGAACTTTGAATCCCAGGCCTGCTTGGCATACAAATCTGCATTGTTGTCATATAAGGACAACAAAGCTCCATCCAGAGGAAAGGGGTGATTTACCACAATTTACTGTAGTCCATTAGAAGTGAATTGCTGTTAGACTTACAAAAGTAACAATTGTGGTGCAATTTTCATCACTGTAGATTTTACATATTATTACAAATCAACGATGTGGTAGCTGATGACATTTGATAAGAGGTAAGCAGAAATATTTTCTAGCTTCAAGAGAGAAACATTCTAAGGTCGTGGAGTCCTGTAGCTCAGTGATTAGAGCACTCGCTTTGCAAGCGAGAGACCTGGGTTCGATTCCTGGCAGGGTGAAACCTAGGACAAGTTTCCTTACTCCACATGCCTGATAATAATCCCTAAAAAAAAAACAATAATAAATTGGTCATTTCAATCCGCGACCATTTGTGGGACACTGCTGTGCGCAATTGGCTGTTGCATTTCACCCATAAATATACAGTCAATTCACTTTACAGTCTATTCTGTGAAGCACTTTGAGACGACTAGAAGACATAAAAAGCGCTATATCAAATGCAAGGATTATTATTATTATTATCCAATTTTCATTTTGATTATCTAAACAAACCAATAATGGGATGTGTCTTGCTGCTCATTGGTAATTATCTAGTGCATAAATGCGAATACAGACAACTTTTGTAGCTGGTCTAGGGTTTGGTCACTATTAGCTGGAGTGATATGGGTAGTCCATTTCTGCTCAGGTGGTGGTGGAAAGTCAGCAAGAATTTCCACCACAACACAATAACAACAACTATAACAAATTGCATTTATAGAGCACCTTTCACTTTGTGAGTATCAATCGCTATCCAGTTATGCGTGCACGCGAATAATTGCGGAAGAATGCTTTTCTCTGCTTTTATTGCTGCTTTCTTTGCTATATTTTCTTATATTCTTCATATTCTATTCCTGGTCTAACATTTCTCTGTTACTTTTGACATGTTTACTGCATGCTCCAACTCTGAGCAGAAACAAGCAGATTGGCTGATGTTTCCTGGACCGATTGCTTTGATTCTCTGAAACCGTGGGAAAAAATGCACAAAATCATGCAAATTCTCACAAGATTGCAAGATTGGTTTAGATGAAGAATCCAAAATACCTCCACCTTACTCTCTTCCCATCACAGCATTAATCTGTTTTTTTAAATGAGTCCACTGTCCTGGGATCAATCACCCTTCTTTGAGTTTAAATTCATGATTTAAAGGAAAATCTGAGCTGCACAGACATTTTAGCATCTGAAAATAGAATTTACAACTGGTAAATAACAGTTACTGAACACAGCTGAAAATAGCAAGTAATTGATGCTGGAAGTTAACTAAGCCAGGAAATCTACACAATGTTTGTACCTCTGAGGGTTACAGAACATGGGTTATTTAATCATGGTTTGAATAGACACTAAGTGTGAGGCCTACTTGTGGAGTGCAGCAGTTTTGGTATAGTGTGTTGGGAAGTTTATTACTAAATGACATATGCTTCTATTGTATTATCCATGGAGAAAGATGGGACCACTAGTGCAGGGCACTGCTACCACAAGACGGTATCCACATGAGCTCTTTGAAGAACTGGCTCAGCAAAGGTGGAAAAACTAGCAAAGCATTTGTGAGCGTCTTCAGTTACCAGTCTTTACACTGTATCTGTGATATTAATGAGATCTTAATCTTCCTTGGACATGTTTCTTCTGGGAATTCAGTGGGCATCAGCCAATGATCCAAGAAGCAGGAAGAAAAGGGTTTATCATACGCTTTCACAGAGAGACAGATAGGCAGGAGGAGATACAATTTGTCTTTATTCCCATATAAGCTTCACAAGGCTTGTGGATTGTGAAGATGGAGTCCTGAGAGCAATGACAGTGAAGAATGTACCATATTCCAATAGGAGGTGACTTTCACTGTATAGTTTGTATTTGGCAAATCAAAGGATCATGCAAATCAGTTCTAGGTTGTCTCATACAGGAGGGATTAATCAGTTAATCATTTCTATCTTACATCACATTGGAATGAAAATACAAGTGCAACTATAAACAAAAAACATCAGTGTTTTGAAAATGTTTTGGTGGTGGGATAGTTTGAGATTCCTACATGTGACAACAACGATATCCAAGAAAAAACGGGCGTATTGCATCTATACTTATGCCACCATATTAACAAGGAAACCTGGCAAAAGAAGAGAAGCATCAAGCTGATGGCAGGAATGTCAAGACTTAAATAGTTCCACCTCACACTCAATACAATTATTCTAACATGTGGCATCTTCAGGGTTCTCTAACTAATGTAATATTCAGAGCATCATATTTTTGTATACAAATCATTCATAGTTGAAAAATAACAATAAGGTGAAGTAAAATGCAAAATACTGCAGATGCTGGAAATCTGAAACAAAAACAGAAATCGCTGGGAACACTCAGCAGTTCAGGCAGCATTTATGGAGAAAGGAAAGTGAGTCAATGTTTGGGTCCACAACCCTTCCTTCCAGCGAATTCTGCTTTTGAATAAGATAAAGTACTTCACCTGTATATGCCAAGACTTCAGGACAGGAAGGCATAGTTTCATGGGTGGGGAAAAGCAAGTTTAGGACAGACCAGGAAGTTTTTGTTTTAAACAGAGGGCAGCATTTATGCAGTTGCATTTTAGATGTGATGCATCAGAAATGTGTACAATGAAAAAGTTTACTGGCCGAATGCTACTGTTAGTCTTGACAATGAATACCTTTAGATTGCCTCAGTGGAATGCAGAAAGCTAGCTCATTGTTGGTGGACTGACGCAGAGCTGAAGCACTGTGTTGATGAGTGGCCTGTTTCGGATCTGAAAAATGAAGACTAAAGGATTGAAATGCTCCAACAATTCAGGATCATATCACTTGATAAGATTTTGCATTGTATTAAAGTGCAAATTACCACACATTAGAATATTTCAATTTTATATTAAATAGTTACCTATTTATTATCAATGTTGAAAATATGCACAGATTTATTGTCAATACATTTGATAAAAATTTGATTTTAATATGTGATTGATAAAAATTGTGATTCTTCAACTTACCATACAATAAAAGCAAAACAGAATCTAGGTAACACGCTGTACACACGTGTACACGCTGGTATAAATCCAACTACTAGATTTTGTGAAACAGCTATTAATTGCACTTGATTTGGTTTAAAGTTATGTTTTAGGTGATTTGCTATCAGAATGTAGTAGAAAAATATATTAGTGAATATCTACTTTAATCATCCTGTATAAGTATATACTGTATAAGTGTATAAGTGAGTGTAAGATGCACCTGCTTTCTACATGATCTCTGACATGGCTATTCATGTGGTCAATTATTGTTCTTAGAATGTTTTATTTAGTTAGATCACAGAGCATTTAAGAACATTGAAAAACAAGTATTGCATGACTGTTTGTGGGACATTGCTGTGCGCAATTGGCTGCCACGTTCGCCCACAAATATACAGTCAATTCACTTTACAGTATATTCTGTGAAGCACTTTGGGACGTCTAGAAGACGTGAAAAGCGCTATATCAAATGCAAGGATTATTATTATTATTATTATTACTGAAGCAGAAAAATCATGAAACAGTGAATTTAAATTAGATCATTACCTGTCAGCACCACATCAACAAGGACAACTTCATCAGTGGGGTTCCTGAATTGTAAGATGATTGACGAATGAGAGTTGATCAATGCACTGATGCTAACCGATTCCATAGGTTGGGGAAGGAGCCCTATTCCTGACAGACAAAATATCCATTCCTCCAACTGTTGAGAAAATTGGAAAATGATCATTTAAGAGTAGAAATCTGCAAATATTTCCTACAGTTAACGCTCACCAAAACAATCATTTTACTATCAGCAAAAGTTTAACAAAATGTGTCATGATACTATCAATCAAATGAATTAGACCCTTAGCCTCAGATTTGAACTGTAAAAACTAAATCATTGGATGGGGAGAACACAGGTTTTCTTTCTCCTCGGGAGTTCATGCTCGAGAAACAAAGTGACGTCAGTAGCAAACCTGGTGACTTGACGATTAAAAAATACACCCAGCTTCAGCATTTAGAATCCCTAGCTTAGAGACGGAGGAGATTTTGTTCAGTTTAAGCTCCTGATCACACTGCTTCAATATTCTTGAAGCCTCCAACAACACACCATTAAACTGGTGTGACATTTCCCATACCAGCAATCCTATCCATTGAGTGAATCTGCCGATTTAGTGCTCAATGGTGGCAAATTATATTAATTACTAACTATACTGTGGACTCTCAGCAATTGAGAACCATATTAAGATAGTCAGAATCCTTTCACATAAGAAGGAAAGAAATGCTTTTCCCATCAATCTGGATTGGATTCAAATTCAAGTGACTAGAGGTGAACGACAATGTTCTGATCCATACCACGATCAATCATTCTTTAAAACGTCACTAACCAGGAAAAAAGCTCTACTTGAAATTCTTGAAGTCTGAAATTGTTACTTAATAGGTTGTAAAAATGATAAAATACAATCAGCATGACCGCTGGAAATCATCTATAATTACTTTGGCAAATCTTGCGATGGATGTTTGCAGTAGTTCCAACTGAAGCATTTCTGTTTTCAAATTACAAATTCTTTGTTTTAAATAGATCTTAGAAACATATTTTGGTAAATAGTTCAAATAATAAAGTAAACGCATAATAATCCCTCCAAAACCAAAAACAATAATAAATTGGTCATTTTCAAACTACGACTGTTTGTGGGACATTGCTGTGCGCAATTGGCTGCCGTGTTCGCCCACAAATATACAGTCAATTCACTTTACAGTGTGTTCTGTGAAGCGCTTTGAGACGTCCTCCCGACGTGAAAAGCGCTATATCAAATGCAAGGATTATTATTATTATAATACAAAAATGAACAGAAACAAAATATATGATATTGCTTGGGGTCCTCGAAAGGCTAAACAACCATCAAGCATCATTATTTGTATTGTAAGAGGCAAATACAACAACAACAAGATTCCATTTATAGAGCGCCTTTCACGTCGGGAGGGCGTCCCAAAGCGCTGGACAGTTGGGTCAGGACCTGAGCAGGGGGGAAATGGTCAGGATGAGGGGAGGGAAGGGAGGGAGCGAGGAGGGGGGAATTGGTCAGGGTGAGGGGAGGGAAGGGAGGGGGCGAGGAGGGGGTAGAGAGTTGAAAGGGGAGCTGAAGGCACGCTCAAAGAGAAAGGTCTTGAGACCGGCCTTGAAGGAGGAAAGGAAATACACTAAAACATGTGAATATTTGAGAGAAGCCATTGCAAATTACAATAATCAAAACACTACCATTTCTACCAAAACACTTAAATATTGCAGAAAAGAAAGCTGAATCTCATACTCATGTATGTAAAAGAACTAAAATCTGAAGTATTTTCTGTGGTAAGTACATCGCCAAATAAATTCAATGAAACTGTAAATCTGGTGCAATCAAGCCACAGTGGCAATATCCTAATTTTACTTGACAACAACCTTCTATTATTATTCACAACACAGTTACTGTGTGATATGGAATATCTAATTTTGCAGAAGGAGCAAATAAAACAAAATTGGACAAGATAGACCTGGCAAAAGTTTTCAATGAAGATTCATTTTATGAGAAAATGACACAGAAATCTTTTAAGGAACCAATTTTCTAATTGGTGTGCTTTCAGAAAACATTACTTAGCAGTAATGACTCCAGCAAAACTGTAAAAGGCCCCAATTGGCCCAGTCAACATAATAATAATCCTTATCACGTCTTTGAGACGTCTCAAAGTGCTTCTCATAATATATTGTAAAGTGAATTGACTGTATATTTTGTGGGCGAAATGCAGCAGCCAATTGCTCACAGCAGTGTCCCACAGATAGTTGTGGATTGGGAGACCAAATTATTTTTTATTTATATTGAAAGAATTATTATCCCTTTAATTATCCCCTTGAAAAGCGATCCATCAATCAACTAACAACCAGGTTCCTACTTACTGCTAGGTAAACAGGTGCGTGTGGAGTAAGGAAACTTGCCCAACATTTCGCTGTGCCTGGGAATCGAACCCATGTCCTCTTACTTGCGAGGCGAGTGCTCTAACCACTAAGCGACAGGTTTCCTGTAATAATGACACATTCTCAGCAGTGCAATAAGAGTGGTACTTCCCCTGGCAGACCTTTCTACATTAGACATTCTTCAGCTGTTCCACTGCAACATTGTAGTAATCCACAGCACAGCATCAATTTTACATTTACATAGTGCCTCCCATATTGAGAGACATCTTAAAGAGTTTCTGAGACTGGGAGATTCAGCTTCATTCTGGAACCTAATTTAATCAGTATTTTTACAGCATGCAATTTTTAAAGCAAAGTCTAGTACAAATTTATTTAAGGACATAGTTTGAGGTTTGAGTCCAAAGAACCTATATTGTTAGAAGTAGACCATTAGAACAATTGCTGAGTGCCTTACATATCATCATATAACAATGACTTACCTGAGGACATTTGAACATGACAGTTGCACAGTGATTGGCTTTCCCCAGTGCTGAGGGAGAAAACTTAACAGGTACGTCTGTTGTAGAATGAGGAGCCACAATCAGCTGTGAATAGGATGAATAGAGCAAAGCATAAAATCAATAGTGTGTTTTATAGACCAATTTCTTTAACGTACTATATATGAATATATGAACAATCTGTACAAAGTTAATTGTAGCACAGCACAGTAAACTCCGGATAACTTGGTGAGTTATCAGGAGTGGCAAGTTAGACATTTGATAAATATATGTTGTTATTGTTGTTGTCGATAAATATATAAATAAATGTAGCCAGGATATTAACACCTGGATGACTTTGGTACCATCCAGGTATCATGACAGGTTAAGCCAGGCTTGAGTTATCAGGAGTTTATTGTAACTTAACAGTGGATAAGTAAGAATGTTTATCAACATCATTAAAATTTAGCACACATGTTCAACACTTCAGAATCTTATTATCTTAGTATCCACTCCAGTTTACCATTGGAAGTTCCATCTGCCTGTTTCAGATGGATGTTAAAGATCCCATGATACTGTGCGAAAAGAAAAGAGATTCCTTGGTGTCCTAGCTAACAATTATCCAAATAAACAGGTCATTTATTTCATGGCTGTTTTGGGGATTTTTCTGTTCAAATTGTCACAAGTAGCTTTGTACACAGATATTTTCACTTGGGGGGGGGAGTGGGGGAATGATGTCCATCTGCCTCCAATGATGAAGGCATTCACAGAATGCTGATCGAGGATGTCAAGTCCATTAGCACTATGGGTCAGCTCAATAACCATTACAAGCAGATTCAAGCTCAGCTGTTTTCACAAAATCAGGAGAGGGGATTGTTCACCGCTGACACTGATCAAATGGGATACATCCAGGAGCATAAATTCCATCAGTGATGGATGATATTCAGAATTTAAATTCACCTACACAAACCTCACAAGACTCAATTGACAGGAGATCTGGTAAGAGTCATTGAGTCATACCTGTTATGTCTGAGAATTAAAGGATGCTCACGGTGTTGACAGGTCTTTGTTGGAAAACCATTCTTCTGTAACCTCTAACAAAAATGCTGTTACTTTATAGAATATAAGGTAATTTGGATTCTTTATATTCCCAATATAAAAAAGTTCCAGTTTCAAAATTTCCATCGCACTTTGCTACAGTATCTTGTTATAGCTTTCATATAATTTTAAGAATGCAGAATAAAAAGAGTCTATCCTTTTCTAAGAAAAGAGCACACTTTACAATCATTATATCGTCCGCATTTTTGAGGATCACAGCAGGCATTATAATTAAATTGCCAGCTACTGAATCCACCGTAGGAGATGATGTGCGGAGAATGTACAAATATCTTCTGACCTAGTTTCCAAGAGGATGAACTTTCTACATTGTTCCATGTAATTGTTTTACTTTCACTTTGATTTACATTTTACATTTTGTCGATTTCCTAATTTATAAAAAATCAAATGCACTATACCAGATTAAGCTCGCATTTTATTAAATCCATAATGAAAACGTATCTGAATAGATGACAGATGATAGTTTTTACACACAGAAATCAAATACAAAATTTAAAAATAAATATTACACCCACAGAAAACACATGACATGAATAAGGTATGATATGGACCATTTGCTAGATTGTTTAAAAGTTGGTAACTGAGAAAAAATTAGAATTTATGATGGCAGCACTGTAGGATTTTTTCATGATTCTCAGTGTGAGAACCAATAAACTAATCAAGCAAGCACAGCCAAATTCATAGCTACCGTCTCAGCTAATTCTGTTCCTCAGCGCTAACATTAATAATGATGCCAACTCTGCAGTCACTAAACTAATTGTCTATCTTGATTAAATCATTGCACATTCTTTGTCTGCTTGAACTACAGTAGTATTTCAAATTCTTAGCAATTAGCACATTATTTATTGTCAAGGGAGTTCGGGTATGACAGCAAACCAAATGTACAAACCAGCTAGTACATGTGTTAGACCTTTATGAGTTGGTCAAAGAAGGTAAATTGTAGCAATAAGGAACCAAAAATATCTATTGTGCTTCTGAATCTGTGCTTTTTAATTGACAAACCAATTTAATAATGACTCCTTCCACCTGACAAGTTCTTCATTCTGCATCACGACACATAATCCCAGATTAGTTAATTATTTTATTATGTTGATCTGCTGTAGCCTCTTGAATTCTAGTAGCCACAAGATGAACCAGTTTTGGTCTATTGCTAGTATCTCACTCCATCCACCTCATCGTTGTTGGCTGAGCTTTAGCCACTACAAATCTGGCTTCTGTAACTCTCTTCCAAAATGTATTGTCATTTCCTTTCTCCCTGCCTTCAAAACCTAAAAGCTTATTTTTGACTATGTTAAAAAACTATGTTTTTGACTATGTTACTCTTACCCACCTCAATTCCAGCAAAAAGAGCCCCAGCCTATTCTGTTTATCTGCATATCTATAGCCTCTCATCTGTGATACTGTCATTGTGGAGTCCTGTAGCTCAGTGGTTAGAGCATTCACTTTGCAAGCGAAGACACCTGGATTCAATTCCAGGCAGGGCGAAACCTTGGGCAAGTTTCCTTACTCCACATGCCTAATAATAATCCCTCCAAAACAATAATAAATTGGTTATTTTCAAACTGCGACTGTTTGTGGGACACTGCTGTGCGCAATAGGCTGCTGTGTTTCGCCCACAAATATACAGTCATTTCATTTTACAGCATTTTCTGTGAAGTGTTTTGAGACGTCTAGAAGACGTGAAAAGCGCTATATCAAATGCAAGGATTATCATTATTATTAGTAGTAGTAGTTTTTGGCTGACATCCTTAGATTTCCCTTCTTCCGGTTCAGGGTATGCTGCTGTAATCGTTAAGCACTTTAAGATGTTTATTCCATAAGAAAGCCACCAGATAGGTGTAACTTGTTCACGTTGTATATAATTGTATCGTAAATGTATATAATGGAGGTATTAAAGTACAGAATCTCCTGGGTGTTTTTAAAAAAGTCAGCTAAAATACCAGTGATCAAAGATTCAAATTTTAATGCACAAACTTTCTTTCAAAATAGTCTTTCAAAGTTTATATTATTCTTAATATTTCATCAATGCTGGTATGTGACCTTAGTAATAACCACCAATTTCCCAGAGAAAAGCTCAATTTGATTACTTCTCAAACAGCTAATTTTACAATATTTATTTCAACAGTTCCAATGAGTCAACAAGGTCAAAAATCATAGTGCTGTGACACTGACTAAAATGTACTTCTTTTGTTTTTTAAGATTAACTGAGTAGAGAGGAGAATTAGTCCCAGTCCACAAATCTGAAAAAACATTATGCAAATAAGAGATGCCACGTACTAAGTGTCATTGTCCACACAAGATGTGAACATCTGTCTTTATTTAAATAATATTATTCTCCCGGNAAAAAATGACTCTGAGTCCAATATCAATCAATTGTACAGATAGAGCTGAAGACACATTCTGCAGAATGTCTGACTGATATTCTCTGTGCAGTCAAACATATGGAGACAAAATGAAAGCTTGCACATATTACATCATTATGTCATTTTATCATCTCTACAAAAGATATTCAATGCATAATTCTATTAGAACTTATTTCAAAACAGGACAATAAACATAATCAAGCTATGTCTACTCTATTAATCTATGACTAAAGATATTTTGTATCTTTCAAATATTATCTGACATATTCGATAAATAGGAACAATTAGTAGTGTCAGTTTAATAATGCAGGATAATGCCTAATATAATACATGCTATTTTACTTTTACTAGCAAGCAGGAAACACCTGAAACATTATGCTTTATTTGGAATTAGCTTTTTAAAATGAGCCGGACAGCTTTCAGCATGCATTTTGGATTTTTTTGTAATTAATGTCAGGTTCCACATAATCAAACTTGCAATATAACAAATTGTCTTTTAATGGGGTTCTACTTTGGAAAAAAATGCTACTTCAGTGAGGTATTGGAGAATGGCCAGTAATTTACATGACTGCTTTTAACAGAGCAGAATGAAAACTGGGGGAACATCTCATAATAAAGCTCCATTTTAGCTGCTAAAGAGAAATCACATATTAACTGTTAAATGTGTCAAGACACCCAGCTGGCCAAAAAAAAGTCACATTTACCAGCCTTTTTTCCCCAAAACCAATAATATGTAGAGAGTTATTTTTGTCGGAGGGTAAGTGAAATCAGTTTGGTTTAATCCTATTCAATGTGGAGTCCTGTAGCATATTGCTTAGAGCACTCGCCTCACAAGTGAAAGGACCTGGGTTCGATTACCGGGCAGGGTGAAACATTGGGCATGTTTCCTTACTCCACGCACACGTCTCTGTTTACCTAGCAGTAAATAGGATCCCGGTTGTCAGTCAATTGGGGAATCGCTTTTCCGGGTGTAATAATCCCTTCCAAAAAAATTAATAAATAATAATAATTTGGTTACTCAATCCACGACTGTTTGTGGGACACTACTGTGCACAACTGGCTGCCGCGTTTCGCCCACAAAATAAACAGTCAATTCACTTTACAGTATATTCTATGAAGCGCTTTGTGATGTCTCGAAGACATGGTAAGGCACTATATCAAATGCAAGGATTATTATTATTATTAAATAGTCATTAGGTGTGCAGCCTACTCATGTCTATGAGGAATGTTAGGAGTACTCAGGAGATTTTACAACATAGAATTTCTGACAAATATTATTGAAATAGTTCAAATTGCAATACTTGCTGTATTTAAAATATTTCGATATGCTCAAAGCCACAGATAAATTGATTTTTCTGAGTTGTCTCATTCTGACTTAATATTCTTTTTAATGCTGCATTTTTAATTTACATTGGTGGTTAATTGTTGCAATCCAAGCATTAATTCAGCGTCAAGCATGAATAGGCTGAGACACTGAGAATCATATTGATCCTGACACCATCAGTCGAAGGTGGTTCAAGGAGGAAAGCGATTTGCGTCTACTGTAGCATAACTCCAATGAGTGTGAATCACACTTGGTCCAGGAATGTTCAATAGACCAGGTGAATGTGTTTTAAGGTTTTGACCATA